ATGATCGTTCACTTCATCTCAACAGTATCCTCCCCCTCTCAAGCTCCACCTCGAATACTGGGGGCCATTTCTCTCGGACTAAGGATAAAGGTTTTTTACCAAGGAAAGAAAAAAAACTTTGTATATTAGAAGCTAAGGCTCGGTGGTTAGGATTCACTGTAAGGGCCAAACGGTCGTATGAACCGTGCCCACATATCCACTCAAGCCATGATACAAGTTTTTATGCGATTGCGATCATATCTTTTACACACTGAGAAATGAAAGAAAGTTTTGACTTGTTGTTTACGCATTTTATTGCCTCTTAAGTTCATAATCCTGAGAGACCACGGGCAACCCCTACTCGGGGACAATCAAGCCCAAGGGCTACCCCTATTCTGGGACTGTCATTCGAAGAAAGTTCGGACAACCCGGTCTACCAAATCCTAGAGGCACCAAACCTATTTAACGGCGCCCAAATACGAAAGGCTACGGCCACCCTAAAAATGGCTCGAAGACGTCCGAAGCTCGTAATCAGAAAGTAAGGCCTTTATAAGAACTCGAAACCTACTAAGAGGTTACCCTCGGAAAAAACATCGTCTAAAATCACTTAAGAGGCTTGAAAAAACCTCCAGTTACACCTAGTTTTCGAAGCCTCAAGCAAACAAAGTTGAATCGAGGTCAGGACCTGGTCGTACCTCTGAAAAATGAACGCCCTATAACTACATTCGATTCTATGCTAAGGCATTAGAAACATTACATGAATAGAAATTATGAAAAGATGCTGGAAAATTAGAGGTACGATATTGCCAGAAACGGAAAATTTCATATATATATTCTGGAGTATATTTACAAAGGCCCAATAAAAACGGGCTCAAAATAAACAAAATAATGTACATGAGACAAAAACTAAAAAAGCACTAAGGCATCTACGCCTAGTCTTCACCAGGGCCTAACTAGTCGCCAGAGCAGTCAGAACCTTCAGATCCCTCCGAGCCCTCGGAACCCTTAGAGCCTTCATCACCTTCAGGCTCGTAAAGTTTCTTTGCCTCGGCCTCTGACTTTTTGGCCTCCTCGATCTCAACCAACAGGTCAAAACCTCGAGCGTGGATCTCTTCGAGGGTCTCTCTTCAAGATAGCCACTTTATATATTCGGCCTTTTTCCTTCAAGTGGACCTCGGTTGCCTCTACATCGGCCTTGTATTGGGTCACCATTTCTTCGGCATTGGAGGAGGTTGCATCCAACATGGATTTCATCGCCTTGTATTCTCTTCCGAGGACGTCCCACCCCGTGATAACCCAACTCAGTTGTGCTTGGAGATCGTCATTCAGCTGAGACCACTTGTCAGCTTTGTCCTTCGCCACCCGGAGTTGGTTCTCAACTGATGCCAGCTCCGCCTTAGCGATTTCCTTCTCCAACGACGGCAGGTCCATTTGCTTTTCCACCCGTCGGCCATGGATTGGACCTCGAACATCACGGCTCGGAGTTGGTCGATCGGGTCGATCTTCTATTGGACCTGCGAGGTTGTGTTGTTAGCCACCATGACTAGATCCTCGTTTTTAATTTTAAAGACCTTTACCTTTTCGACCAGGTTGGCATATTCCCGCTTCAGGGTCAAAGTTTCCTTCTGTGCCCTGTCCAGCTCGGCCTAAAAATCCTTAACGGCCCCGTCCTTTTGCTCACTTAAAAGCCTATACATGTCCTTCTCTCGAACCTGCTCCTTGAGCTCGAACTCGAGCTGGTCGATATCGAAGCGGTACCGGAGGAAGCTCTCGTGGTGAAGTGCCGAGGCCTGCAAAGCAACAAAAACAGTAAGAGATATTAAAACCTATGTGGAATTCACTAGGGAGTGTTGACGCATTACCCAATTCAGCGCTTGTTGTGACTCGTTCAAGAGACTCGACGCACCCACCTTGTTCATCTTTGCCCGGTCCTCCTCGGTCACCAGGCATCGGAGGTAGCTAGTTATGCCCACTGGAGCAGATAGGACCCGAGCATCCTCTTGGACCGTAAGAATGACTGTCCTCTTGTGGCTGGGGTCCACACTCAGAGTAGGAAACTACTTCAGTAGTCTTGGGCTCGAACTCGGCCTGACAGTCTCCGAAGGCGCGTCTTTCTTAGGGATCTCCAGGTCGCCCAGCCCGAAAAAATCTTCCAAAGTAGATATGTCCATGCCATCAAACCAGGAGTGGAGAAGATCGTCTGCACCGTCAACTCTTCACTTGACTTTTACTTTACTGCTTGGGCCTCTTCAAGCATGGAATCGGTGTAGGAGGGCTTGTCGATGATGTCTATCACACCAGTTGCCTCCTTCGAAATAGAAGCGGCTTATCGGGAGGTCTCGGCCCCCGTCTCCATCTTGACCTCTCTAGTCCGAAGAAGATCGACCTCATGGCTCTTCTCCTCGGTTGCCTCCTGCACCCCGACAGAGGTCGATCCGTGAGAGACAAAGATGTCATCTTCTTCGGATTCATCCCTGAGTCGGCGAAGTGAGTCAGAATCCCGCACCCAAGAGTTGGTGTTCTTCTTCGGCTTATGAGCTCGGGAAGCCGCCCTCTTTTTAGGCTTCACCTCGGGACTCGGGGATCCCGAAGACTTTCTTTTCCTCTTCTTCTTCTCCCCTTCGATAGCCCCGGGCTGTCCTGTAATGGATGGATCAATGGGTAAGGGCGCACCCTCATTCCCTCCCAGTTGCCTAAGTTCGGTGGTCTTAGGCGAGCCTGCGAAGAAAAAAGAAAAGGTCAATATTACGTACGTTTGGGGCATAATAGTAACTATTCTGAGAAGAGCCTTACCGTGAGAACGGGCCTCCCATCAGCCCTTCGAAAGCTTGCACCACGAGCACTCAAAGTATCACATCTTCTTGCAGGTTCCTTCGATTCACTCCTTGAGCCGAGGGACCGCATTGGAAACCCGAGCAATCGCTGCATGACCACAAATACTGATGGTGAGAAAGGAAAGAAAGGAGACTTGACACTTAAGGAAATGCTACACTTACAAGATGCATTCCACTTCTCGGGAAATGGCAGGAACTTAGGAGGAATCAAATCTTCAGTCATCACCCGAACGAAGCACCCCTGCCAGCCTTGGTCTCGATCCTCGTCGATGCTCGAAAAGGGGGCCTCGCTGGCATGGCGAGTGAGCTTGATTAGTCCCCTTCGAAAAATTAGGGACTGTATAAACGGAGTAGGTGGTCGAGGGTGATTTGAGGAGACTCGGTGTTGTTCACAAAATAACATAGGAGGATCACGATCCTCCAAAGAGACGGGTGGATTTGCCCAAGGCACACCTCGTATCTCTTGCAAAAGGCCAAAACTACTGGGTCCACCGGGCCTAGTGTAAAGGGATAAGTATAAGCACTTAAATACACCTCCACATGAGTGGTAATATCAGGCCCGGGGACTACCACGTCCTTACCTCCCAATTTACAGTCCTCTCAGACTATGGGAAGGGTATCTTCGGTAATAGAGCATATATATCTCGATGCCCCTTCACCTCGGTCTTGTTTTGATGAGGCCTTCTCGACATTGAAGTCATTTGCGATTGAACAACCTCCGAAATAAAGCTTTTCATGGGGGCTCTAGGGGCTCTTCGGTAGTAGCCACTTCGGGAGAAACTACCTTGGGAGCAGCCATCTCGAGAACAACCACCTCGGGAACGGCCGCCTCGGTACCTGTGGACGGGTGGGAAGATGAATAGGCAGCTTGCTGAGGAACTGATTTGGAAGTCTTGGCCATCGTGATCTAGAGAATAAGAAGATTTGAAGGGAAGATATGAAGGTTTGAAGGAAAGTGTATGAAGGTTTGAAGATAGGATGATGATTTGGGTAGAAACCTAAGAATAGTTATGAAGATTTGAAGATCAAAGGTAAAGAGATGAAGATTTGAAAGAGTTGATAGCCGCTAGAGAATTCGAAGATAAAAGCTAGGATCGAAAGTGGAAGAAGTACAAAAGGACGAAGCTTTTATAGGACAAAATGTAATCAATACGTGACGTTTCACATTCGGAGACGACCAGCCGATGGTTGACACGTGTCCGAAGTCAAAACGACACGACTGATGGGACATCACGGCTTATTCTCGTCTCGGTTGTAACATACAAAGGAAGGAACCGGAGCTCATCTATCGTTTCCCATCGTTTCAGCAAGCCTACTATCTGAAAAACAAGGGGACTATCTATATATGGGTGAACTCGAGGTCAGCACACACCCCAATTTTTCGGTGAGTCAAACGAAGTAAGAAGTATGAATGTATGAGATAGAGACCTAATCTGAGAGCTCTTTGAATCGAGGTTGGAACGGGGTGCTCGCCACCGGGCCTGACAAGACAACACCCCCCGAAACTGGAACTAGCTCCAAGACCTCGGAAAGCATTACAAACGGTTGCACACGACTAACAGAGGGCCGTGATATGCACACCCAACCGGATATCACGGTGCGGATCTCGCCCGATGCCGGTAGCATATCAGTGATTGATGTACAAGGAGGATTTTTACCTTTTTTTGAATTGTACTAGGGGTAAGACTCATCTACTATATAAAGGGGAAGTTTCTTATTCAATAGGCATATTGTAACACGTATATCAAGGCAATACAAATTTATTTCTCTGCTTTCTAGCTATCGAAAGGTTCTCATTTTGATCATAGTTCTTCATATACATTTGGCTTCGAATCGAGGGTCCGGTCGAGGGCAAAACTACTGTTAAGCTTAAATTCAAGCCCGGATTCTATGTCATAAATGGTTTGGCTATTTATTTTATCTTTAATTTGTTTAACTAACGTTCTTGATTGCTTGTGTTGAATTAATCCACATATCCTTAAAATCACGTACAAATTTAATTGTTATCCGTTTTAAGGGTAAACACAGACAAAATGAAAATCTATTTCCATGTGCTTTGTGTGTGAGCGGAAGATGGGATTTGCAGTCAACTACGTGTTACTAAGGTTGTCACACCAAAGAATAGGTGTGGTCGAAGCAAGGCAACCAATCTCTTTATGTACCAATTTCAGCCATGTGAGCTCATACTTAGCACTGGCAACTGGCAAGTGCTCGATACTCTATTTCAGTACTCGATTCAGACACAGCCTTCTGCTTTCTAGCAGCCCAAGAGATCAAATGAGAAACAAGATAAATGGAAAAACTAGTAATGGACTTGTGATCATCAAGAGAACCACCCCAATCAGCATCGCTATAACCATGTGAAAGCAACGAGAATTGCCAAGTAAAGAAAAGACCATATGAGGGAGAGGCTTTGATATATCGAAATATTAGTTTTACTGCCATCCAATGGGAATCCAGTGGTTAATTAATAAACTACTATACTTTGTGCACTGAGTAAGCAATATCAAGCCTTATAAATGTAAAATAGTGCAGAGTACCAACAATGCTACGAACAAGGTCTGATTATGAAAGGGTTGACCATCATAGGAGGACAATCTGCTTGAAGATGAGGCAAGAGTAGCCACAGAGTTGCAGTATTGCATTTGTGCGCCTTTAAGTAAGTCAGAGATGGTGTCCAGGTTGCTTCAATGCCGAAAAAGTAAGAAAGCTTGCCCAAATCTTTGACTGCAAATCGAGATTCCAACTTAGCAACAAGAGAGCTAATGCAAGCACAACTATTTCTCATCACCCAAATATCATCAACATAAATCAAGCAAAATATCTTAACACCACTAGAATGTAAATAGAACAATGAACTATCTGTCTTACAGCCCTTGGAACCAAAGGAGATTAGAATATCAATGAGGCATTTATTCCACATCGAGGGGCATGTCTAAGGCCATAAAGCAACCGCTTGAGTAAGCACACATGATCTAGTAGTGAAGGATCAAAAGAATCCCAGAGGTTGAGATATAGAGACAATTTCGTCCAGATGTTCGTGAAGAAAGGCATTTGAAATGTCCAACTTAGTAATAATATACAAACGACAAGTAGCAGCCAGTGACAGAAGCAGTCGAATAGTGTTAGTCTTAACTATCGGGCTGAATGTATCAATAAAGTCAATGACTAGTCTTTGATGATAACCCTTGGCTACAAGTATCGCCTTATACCATTCTATTGATCCATCCGACTTCATCTTAGTTTTAAAGACCCACTTGCATCTAATAACATTATGGGACGGGGAGGGTGGAACAAGCTGCCAAATTCTCCTTTGTATGAGGGCACTGTATTCATCATGCATAGCTTGGTGCTAATTCTTGTCTTTTGCGGATTGTGAATAGCAAGTAGATTCTGATGAATGCAATGTCACAGCTGAAAGTGAGAAGGTAGTTTCGGTTTTAAAGAGCCTGTCTGTGCTTGAGTCACCATTTTGTGGGACTTTATAAGTGTGGGCTACAGGGAAAAATTAGCCGGTGAGTGATTACGAGTCGAGTCACAACGTGCGAGATCATCACGCAATGAGATACCATGTGTAGTAGACTGATCAGCTGTGGGAGTCTGTTGGATCAGATGCAATTGCAGAAGCTGGGTGGTTGGCGGATGAGGGTGATGGCTGAGCAAGATCATCTGTACACCCATCTGTGTGTACATTAGAATAAGGAGATGTTGCAGCAGTAGTTGACATTGGCAACTGAATAATAACAGGCATTGTATTAGAATTGGCTAGAGTATTATGCTCCACATCATCTCGCACAATAAAAGGAAAAGTACTTTCATCAAAGGCATTATGACAAGAGACATAAAATTTAGACGTGAGAGAACCAAAACACTTAAAAACCTTTTGAATCTTCCTGTAACTGAGAAAAACACAGGGTTTAGAGCGAGGAGATAACTTGTATTTTGTGTAAGGATGAAGCCATGGAAAGCAAAGGCATCCAAATATATGAAAACAGGAATAATTTGTTGTTTTGAAAAAAGTACTAAAGGAAAACAATTATTCAATTGAGAGGTGGGCAATCTGTTGATTGTATACATAGTAGTGTCAAAAGCATTAATCCAAAAATTTTAAAGAACATTAGTATAATTTTACAAGGCACAACCAGTTTCAACTATATGTCTAAGTTCTTTTCAGCACAACCGTTTTGTTTCAAAGTATAAGGACATAATGAACATTGAACAATGCCATTGTCTCTCAAATAACTAGTTAATGCCTAAAATT